GTCTTTTTTGAGAGGGTCTCCCGGTAGCCCTAGCTGTCCTGGAACTCACTATGTAGACCAAGCTGGCCTTGAACTCCCAGAGATCCACTTGCCTCTGCCTGGGACTAAAGGCATGAGCCACCACACCCAGAGGTGCTTTTATTTTTAAGATGGTTATATGATGGGGTTTTGTTGAAATTGCCTTAAAAGCCTATTACTTCAAGATTCTTTGCAAGACAGGCAAAAATAATCCTGTGACACAGGCCCCAAGTTCATGGTAAACTTGGTTAAATGCACTCTTAGCTTAATCACACGCTAATATTGATTACTGCTTCAAGCTGTAAGCGTGGGAGTGACCTCTTAGAAAGATGTAGGAGTTAGGTCCGATGGTGAGGCTTTCTAGTCTAGGATTAGAATTGGGACATATCTTTGTTCTTTCTGCATTTTATCTTTGCTTCTTAGTTAATGTACTGTAGGTGTCTGTGTTTCATACACAAATGCAGCTACAGTGAACAGAAAGGCCCCAGCTACAGTGGCCACACTAGCACATTTTTTTGTTTTAAAAGCTAAGAACCTGACTTAGGAGTTCCTACTATAGAACATTCTTCTGTCTTTTGAGCCAAGAACAACTTCCATCTAGTTGTCAGACTGTGACTCTTTGGTAAATTTTAGCAATGTAGATTAGAGCAAGTGGCCAGTAAGGAGTGCTTTTGAAAGACTATAAATAAAAACTGGTTAATAGTCATCAAATGTTATTTTGTGAACATAATATAATTTGGATCCTTAAATATGATATTACTAAAAATCACAGCAATACAACTATGCATGGATTATATACCAACTCTGAGACAGAACCTGGGGGAAAAAAGTAGAACTGCTGTGATTATTAAAGCATAGTATGCGTTCAAAAAATGTGAATCTTCTATATCAATAAGAGGTTCAAAGCATAAATGTACCAAGCGCAAGGAATGTAGCTTGGCAGCAGCCACTCGCCTGCCATGTGGGAAGCTGGGAGCCTCATTCCTAGCATTGGAAGAAAAGAGCTTAATAAATTATCTGAAATCTTTCTTTTTCTTTGTTCTTATTTCACTTCAAAACTACCCAAGTGGCTACCACATAGTAACAAAATGTCTCCTTTTGGTTGTCACCATTTCCAAGGCAGGGGGTCAGTGAAGACACAGGGGGTCAGTGAAGACGCAGGGGGTCAGTGAAGACACAGGGGGTCAGTGAAGACGCAGAGGGTCAGTGAAGACGCAGGGCACAGGGTGAAACCCACATGCACAGCAGCAAGGCTTCTGCCCCACACCCCTCTGCAGTGCCCAGGACTCTCACTGCTCCTTTGTTTCTTCTAAGAAACTAGTGCCCTTGCATGACAGTCCTAGACCAGAAATGTCCGCTTAGCGAACAGGCGCAGAGTGGCATGCAGCACCTCAGCGTACAGTTGTTAACCTAGAAAAGGAAGTCCAACTGATGCAGTCATGCATAAGAACAGCCTAGAAATGTGCACTGTCACAATAATCATAAAGGAGGAAAACTGCTGGATTTTTAAAGTCCTTCCAGATGCCCATATTACCTCATCTTTGCAAAGACATTATGGTTCCCATTAGGCCTACGAAGCATCTTTTGCCTTCTAAGTACATCCCTGCATTTTTTTCACATTTGCATTTAAGAGATGCCCACACTGAAATGAGACTTTTCTATTTATCCCCCTTTCCTCCTAACAGAAGAGAAAATAGCTTTGCTTCCAGTTTTGATGGCTTTAAACAAACTACTGTGTCCCTCAGTGAATTATCACTGGAAATATTTATTACAAAAGTATGTACTTCAGGCCCTTAAGAGTGATCACTCAAACCCTCCTCACCTAAGCTCCCATCAAAACAAGCTCTTGTGAGGGGAATCCGTGAATATTATCTGCTCATTTGCAGAAGCAGTGGTTCTTTTTACATCTCCACAGTGAGGTATGTTAATTACTCTGGTAATGATGGACGATTAAATTAAGGGACTAATGAGCTTAGCATGAAAAACATAGGGCAAACCAGCAAGCGGTGAGCTGAGGAGAGGCTGCCCTGCTTGCCTGTCTGCAGAAGATGGCAGAATCTTTCATGAGTCACTGGGTGCTTATGGTGACTCCATCAGACAATGCTGCTGCTGATGAAAGCCAGGTCTGCTGCCCCCACTGACACACATGAGCAGGAAGAAGCCTCAGAAGGAATAGAGAGGCTCAAGTAAATAGAATCAGAAACAGTGAAAGAAGAGGTCAAGCAAGCACCGCTTTTATTCTCTCTCTCTCTCTCTCTCTCTCTCTCTCTCTCTCTCTCTCTGTGTGTGTGTGTGTGTGTGTGTGTGTGTGTATGTGTGTTATGTGTATATGCACACAGGTGAACATCAGGCATCCTGCTCTCACACACTCAGCTTTATTCCCTAGAGACAGGGTCTCTAGCTGAATGTAGAGCTGTGAGGATGTCCAGCAAACCCCAGGGATCTCCCTATCTCCAACCTGCAGTGTTGGGATTACAGCCAAGAACATGACCAGGCCTGGCATTTTATATGTGTTCCAGGGATTTGAACTTGGGTTCTCATGCTTGTACAAGTGCTCTTTTCTATTGAGCCATCTATCTCCCTTGCCCAAACACCTTTATTAAGATATCATAATTTCATGTCTGTATTATAAATAATCCAAGTCATCTTCTCACTTAATAGCATAACAGCAGTGTTTCAAAATATGCAGTATCTTGTATCTTTGTAATCTCTCCAAAGAAGGCTTTCTTAATTAGTAGATGGGGAGATCACAAAGTCAGAATGATACTTAGATGCCACTGGGAGCCAGGGCCTTTAAGTTTGAATCTTTCCTGTCACTAGATGTGTGACTGTAAGTATATCTCTGAACTTTCTCCCTGCTTGCATGCATGTACACACACACACACACACACACACACACACACACACACACATTTTTGATGGAGCCAATGATACCTGCTTTACTGTAAAAAAGATTGAACTGACAACACATGGAAAAGGGAAATGAAATCTAAAAAATTTTAAGAAAACTAGTTTATTATGAAATTAAGATAAACAGCTACTTTGAAAGAAGCCAGTCTCTTTATATTCAAGCTTGACAAATAGACTGAGATGTATATCAAAGGCACATGGGTACTCCCCAGACCCCAGTGCCCAGCATACAACAGACACCAAATAGACTTCCCTCCAAAAGCTGATCTAACAGAAAACATTACCCATTCTTTCAAGGTGTGAGACTACACAAAAATTTCATTTGCATACTAAGCTTAGGGAAGGAGGAGGATCTGAGATCCTTACAACTTCCATTCCCACTAAGAAGAGCCACATGCCTGACTGGGTGAGATCATAACACTTCAGTCAGGGCACACGAAGGCAAAGGTAAGACATCACCTTTCTTACCTGCCAGGGGACAGGGGACGAGTTCCCCTTCCAGCCGTGCTTCGACATCTCCTCCACTGCAAGTGTCTCCAGAAATCTTCCGGTAGCTGTTACCCCCATCAAAACAAGAGGTCAGAAACATCAAGAAAAGTCAAGAGAGGCACCCCAATTGAGAGTATGCTCCCTACCATGGACAACAAAGTCTACCCATACACATTCCCTCAGAACTAGAGGAAGGTGATTAGTGGCTGAGTTAGTTAGTTTTGCTTATAACCACTTAGAGTGGGCAGGTCCTGACAATTTAGTACACTACTCTGGGTAACATTCAGAAACATTTCTCTTCAACAAACTCCTCTGAAGATGTTTTCTGGTTGAAGATTCTAACTTACGATGCTCTCAGCTTTGCAGAGAAGCTTACAGACATGAGATTATTCTCTTGCTGGGAACAGGAGATTCTGCAGGTGCCATAAATTTGAAATACTGCCCAGCCACTTACAGTCTATAACTTGGGATCTACAACTTAGGGTGCAGAGAGTCTGGTGATGCTCAAAGCTCCCTCTTCCCTTGACAGGCCCCTGTGAGCCTGACTTGACCGAGCATGTAATACATACCCTCTTGTTCTTCTATACGTAGAGCCCACAGGACAAGGCACAGGAGGGCCATAGGGCTTCCCAGAAAACTCAGGGTCTGGAACACAAACCTCTAAGGATAGATCTTCACTCATCTTGAAGCCAAAGTCACTGGAAAGGCAATTGGAGTTCAGTCAGGCCATGGGTCTTCAGAACCAACCCTACTTTTGCCCCACTAGCCATGGCTTCTATTACAAGGCTACTCAGCACATCCCTTTTTAAAAAACATTCATGTTGTAACTCTGAAATACACCTGCAAAGGAACCTCAGTATCAGAAGCACAACTGGAAAGCCAGATCTGCACAGCCTAAGTGGACAAGAAGGATGTAAGCCATCGTGCAAAGGCAAATCACATCTTACGTACATCCATCTGCCTACCCAGACTCTGAGCCTTTTCTCATGGTTAAAAGGGAATAGCAGGGCTGGAGCTATAGCTCAGTTGGTAGAGTGCTTGCCTAGTAGGTACAAGGTCCTGGGTTTGACCCCCAGCACTGGATATGGTAGCACAAACCTGCAAGCCTAGCAGAGGCAGGAAAATTAGAAGTTCAAGGTCATCCTCAGCTACCTACTGAGTTTGAGGCCAGCCTGGGATATATGATATTCTTTTCAAACATAACAAAATGAAATAAAAAATAATATGGGGGCCAGGGAGATGGGTCAGCAAGTAAAAGTATTTGCCATGCAAAACTGATGGACCTGAGTTCAATCCCCAAAGCCTATGTAAAATGTCAGACACAGCAGCACACATCTGCAAACCCAGCACTCCTACTACAAGATAGAAGGAGGCAGGAGAATTGGCTGGAAGCTTAGGAACAAGGAGGAGGAAGACAATCAACTCCTGAAAGTTGTCATTTTGACTGAGAATTCAGTGTCACTTAGGACTCTAGCCAAATGCTATCTAAGTCACTGGATGCCTCACCCTGCACTCTGGAGATGGTGGTTCACACTTCCTACTATCTGGGGACCACATCACATCAGTCACACTCCCAGCTTGGGTGGGCAATACTGGAAATGGGAAGCAGGCAGATTGTGAGATCATGTGGTTTCACAGGTCTAACTCAACATCAACATTCGGAAAGCACGGCAGCTTGTACAGACCGCTTCCCAAGGGCCAATCCAACTATTAATTCTCTAAGCCACAGGACTTTCCCATAGTCACATGCTGGACCTGAAAAGCTTCACTTCTGACAGTCAATGCAACAATGCTTATTAAACGTTTCCTATATGAGAAGTAGGACCAAGGAGAAAGGACAAAGTAGTTTGTGGCATATAATTCACATTTAGTGATTTATAGAGGACTACTCCAAAGGCATCATATTTATTACTATATAAAATACTCCTGTTCATTCAATCCATCCATCCATTTTTTTAACTGAATGGCTACTTTAAAGCTTTAAAAAAATATTTTATTTATTATTTTTATTTTATGTGTATGTGTGTTTTGCCTGCATGTAGTTAAGTGCACCCGTGTTGTGCAGTGCCCTCAGAGAACAGAAGAGGCTGTAGGATCCCCTGGGACTGGAGTCACGGACAGTTGTTAGCTGCCATGTGGGTGCTGGGATTTGAACCTGGGTCTTCTGCAAAAACAGTCAGTGTTCTTAACCACAGAGCCATCTCTCCAGCCCCTACTTTAAAGCTTTTGAGGGACTGGGCAGAGCTCTGGAAATTACTTGTTTGCCTCCATAGCAAGGTACCCAGTTGTGAGGCAGCTTTCTTAGTCTGCAGAGCACAACCCAGAGGACTTTAGAACACCACGTCCAGCTTATTCTTCTCCCCATGAAAAAAATGAAAGATTTCAAAAGGCATCACATATTTAAAAGTAAATGTCCCATAAAATATTTTAATTAAATATATATGCATATGTGTTAATACTGGGTCACAACATCAAATGCATTTCTTACTCTGAGTTTCACTTAAGAATCTGAAAGTTACATGTCTTGGCAACATGGAAAAATATGAAGATGTAAAAGAAACTACTCTTGAAATCAGAGATGGCTTCCCACTGTGGACTGAAAGGGCTTTCAGAATTCACCTGGCTTGTAAAGACAATGGTCCCTCCATGGCTAAACCTACGGACAGAACACCACAGTTTGCCTAGTCTCAGCTCATCTCCCATGGTCCATCTTGAGACCGTTTATTTTCTCAATGCCATCCATCCAATGCCAGTCCAATCTCATCGACTATTCCCAAGAATCACGTGGTCAGAATGTCTCCTTTCTGGCAGCCACAGCACACAGAGGACAGCCTAAAGTCAATACGCCCTTTGCCACTCTCACAGTGCCATTAACCTACCCTATACTCTCCTTAGCCAGTAGCCAGGCCTCCTGAGGGGCAGAGCAGTGGGCTGTCCCAGTCTGTAATAAAAAGGCTTAGTACCTAACTATACAAGTACCTAGCAGGTTCTAGCAGACCAATAGAAGCCCAGTCATTTTACCTAGGAAGGCAAAGCTTTTGTTTAGTGGGGGAAGCAGAGAATTTTAATATTTATCTCTTTTTTAAAAAGAAAGCATTAATAGCAATCATGAGGGAAGAACTCAAAAGCTTTGTTGAATTTTCTCACATTTTTTTTTTACTTAGTCTTAATTTTATTTCTTAGCCCAGTTGCTTCTCGTGTCTGCAGGAGGGCTAGTTCCAAGACTCCCTGCAAACTGCAAACTCTGAGGATGCTCAAGGAGCGTCTGTACTGGAGCCTGCAGAAGGAACTACCATGCCATAGCCTTGCTCCTCAAAGAGTAGACATACAAATGCACAGTCGAACCACCTGGGAAACCTGAAGACCCCCAGAACCCCAGCCTTGCTCCTCAAAGAGTAGACATACAAATGCACAGTCGAACCACCTGGGAAACCTGAAGACCCCCAGAACCCCAGCCTTGCTCCTCAAAGAGTAGACATACAAATGCACAGTCGAACCACCTGGGAAACCTGAAGACCCCCAGAACCCCAGCCTTGCTCCTCAAAGAGTAGACATACAAATGCACAGTCGAATCACCTGGGAAACCTGAAGACCCCCAGAACCCCAGGGCAGCATCTGCAGTTTAACGAGGCCCCAGAAGAATCCTGTACACATTAAAGTTGCAGAAGCAGAGTGTGGAACAGTGGTGGTCAAAGCCAGCTGGTTGCTTCTGTAAACAAAGATTTGTTGAGTTCCAGCCATGACCCTTCATCCAGGATGGCTTTCACTCATCTGTGGGAGCTACCATGGGTAGAGCTGAGTACCTCCACTGGAACCACAAAGCCTAAAGCATTTGCCACAGGGCTCTCTTCCAGACACTGGTCTAGCACACATCACAGGTCCGGCTTTAGCTGTGCTGCCCAAAGTAAAATGTAGTTAGTGCCTCAGCAACCACTGAAATACAAGTTGATAACACTGCCTGTTCTACAACTACACCATCTGAATTCCCAACAGATGGAGAGCCTAGTAATCCCATGCACTCCACAGCCAGAACCATCTCATAGCTAAGCACTGTTCCGATGAGCTCTCCTCAGAGGCCTGCGAGGCCAATCCTACCCACAGAATGAAGCCCATCTCCTCCATGGCCTCTGCTCCCACTGCCTCCCATCATTTCCACTGCATCTCCATTCAGTACTCTGTTCCATACACCCAACCAGCCATCAAACCAAACTGCCAGTGGCAGACACCTCCTGCCCCCACATCACCACACTACAGCAGCATGACCTAAGGCTGCCCTGCCCACAGATCCAGATGCTTTCCTAAGGCCCATATCCAAAAACTCCCCAGTGCCACAACTGCAAATCACAGTCCTCTCCCTCCTTTCAGCGGTCACAATAAAAGCAACTATTCCTCCCCTAAGGCCCTTCTCATCTCCTGTCACCATGTTTTGTGCAGATGTCACTCCTACTTAACATTCCCAGCCATGCCTTGGCCATTTTCCTCAAGGAACAATGAATGATGCAAAAATTATCCAAGCAAGCATCACCTTATTTCAGATAAGAAAATAAGTCCCCACCAGCATAAGGGCACCTAGGAAATGAGTTCCCGTGATGGAACTTTGAGCACATGACTACAGCTTATCAAGGTCACGGCACCTCTACTGAACTACATGGCTGTAAGAATTAGTGGACAACTTAAGGAAAAAGTGCCTCACACTTTCCTGGCTCATAAAAAGTGCTTAATGAATGCCTATTTCTTTCCCCAGAGAAAAAGAGCACGCTCTTTTATCATTTAGCCCCACAGTGCTGAGTAGCTATGAAACAACACAATGTCCTAATCCCTGGGGAAGGACAGACCATTCATAGTCCTCCCGGGTGCAGGAGCAGTTGGACACGACCACCGGCCTGTCAAAGTCTTCTCCATTAAAGCATGTTGCATGGGGGGTCCTTCGTTTGAAAACCGTCTTGTGTCCCAGCAAACACTCATTCCCCCGCTCATCAGATGGAGACCACAGCTTGTAGTCATTTTCTGTGCAGGGAACCCCTGAGGACAGAGAAAGACAGAGACAAGCATCAGAGCCAGCCCCATATGGGGTTTCCTATCTACCTGGTGCCTTTGGTACAGTTCTCCACATCCTGTGCATCTGCTGCCACCCGGCAAGCGTAGAGCTTGGAGTCTCCAGTCCCCATGTGCTGGGGCTGCCCGTGCCAATGGAGGCAATGCTGCTTATGACACACATTCATCTGAGAAGCTATGAAAAATCAAGTCACCTTTCTACACCATTCAGACTTCTGAATTATATAATTTAGGGTAGGAAGGAGGTGACTGTTGTTTATTTTTGTTGGGTTTTTTAAAATTATTTACTTATTTAATTTTATGTGTATGAGTGTTTTGCCTACCTATAAGTGCACCCATACATGCAATGCTCTTAGAGGCCACAAGAGGGGGTCAGATCTCCTGGAAAATTATGGACATGGATGGTTGTTAGCTGTCATGTGGGTGCTGGGAACCAAACCCAGGTCCTCTGTAAGAGCAGCCAGTGCTCTTAACCACTGAGCCATCTCTCCAGCCCAACTGAGTTTTCCCCACAACACCCATTTGTTTGTTTGGTTTGGTTTGTTGTTATTTTATTTATTTATTACGTGTGTGGGTATATGAACACACACATGCATGTATACACCATGGCCCACATGGGGCAAATTTGTGGAGCTGGTTCTCTCCTTCCTTCTTCACAAGAGCTTCCAGGATCAAACTTGGATCTCCGGGCTTGCTAGGTAAGTACCTTTATCTGCTGAACTATCTCACTAGCCCAGAATTATGGGTAAGTTTTTTGTTTATTGGTTTGTTTGTTTTATAAAAAAGAAGGTCTCCCAAGACAGTTCAAGTTATCACCAAACTCTTGATCCCCCTGCCTTAGCCTCCCCAGTGCTAGTGTTCCAGCATCTGACAAACTTCTGAATTATTTCAAGAGAGTCAGCATTTCCTTTTATAAATGGTACCCAGGCCAGTATCTTTCCTGGGGAGCTAGGGACAGGCTAAACCCTTGATAGGTGATGTTGTCTAGGGTGCTGATCCCTCCTACTTTATTGGGTATACAGGTGCACCTGGTAGCATGTGCTGAAAACCCTGAAGAATGTGCTTGTCCTCCCTGAAGGTACAAGATCTTTGAGCAAAGCAGCTGGGAAATGAGAAGACGACATCACAGTCACTCCACCGTCACTCCAGCCCACGTTCATTCAAAATGTCAGCAGAGTGCTTTCTATGGGAATTCCAGAGCATGCTTATGCCTCTATAGGTGTCATGTGTCTTTTTTATATGTGTCAGATTAAATACTACCCAAAGATGATGCACAGCTGTCAATGCAATGCCATTCAAATTAGCAAAAACTTATTAACACCCCATTGACTAAGAGGCAGTAATGACACTCAGTAGGTAATTAAAAAATACACATAAGAAAAAATCTTTGTTTTGAAGAGCTTTATAATTATATGATGGAAGATGACCCAGAGTCACAGACCCAGATTTATAATTCAAGGTGTGATGGATGCACTTATTTCTGGACATAGAGAAGACAGATGAGATGCCAGTGGCAAAGGTACTAGATCCTGAAACAGAGGCTGAATAGGTGGGATGGAGAAGACACCAGAGGTGTTCTGGACAGCTGAAATAACATCAGCTAAGGTAGAGAAGCAGGAAAGGGCAGGGGTCAATGAGGAGCCGTGAAGGGTATTCAAGAGTCACTCAGACTTTCCTGTTTACTTAAAGGTCTCTCGTGGGCCAGTAAGTAGTAACTAGACTCAAGACAGCTTTCAGAGGACACTGCATTGAGGCAATACTATACTTTGAATCTTGAATGGTCCCTAAGCCCTGTGTGTTGGTTTGCAACCTGTGGCACTATGAGTAAGTGATGTGACCTTTAGGAGATGATGCTTAGAGGAGAGAAGTTGGACCACCAGGAGTGTGCCCTTAAAAAACGTATTAGAGCAGCTGGAGAGATGACTCAGTGGTTAAGAGCTCTGGCTGCTCTCCCAGAGGACCAGGGTTTGGTTTCCAGCACCAACACGGCAGCTAACAACATTTCAGAGGATTCAATGCCTTCTGGCCTCCACAGATGGGCATACACGTGGTATACTTACATACATGCAGGCAAAACACTCATGAATATAAAATAAAAATAAAATAAATTTTTAAAAATTGGGGGAGGGGCAGGGCCTGGTGGCGCACACCTTTAATTGCAGTACTCAGGAGGCACAGACCTCTGTGAGATTGAGGCCAGCCTAGTCTAAAAGTTCCAGGTCAACTGGGGCTTCAGGGAGACCCTGTCTCCAAAAGAAATTTTTTTAAAGAACTTTTTAGGACTTCATTCCCTCCTCCCCATACCCTTTTGCTTCCAGACCACAATGAGATAAGCAAACTTCCTCCATCATGGCTCCTGGTATAGACCAAAGTCAACCAAGCAAGCAACGATGTCAAAATGAATCTGTGCTTCCTCCCCCTGACAGAAAGCTAGCAAAGGCACACTCTGAATAGATTCCCTAGGAACTGCTTATTTGGAAAGATGATTTCATTCATTCATTCATTCATTTACACATTTAACATACATATATATATATATATATTTAGACTTACTACATGCCAGGCACTGCACAAGGAAAACAAAACAAACAGAGGAATCAACAGTCCTTTTAAGACCTGGGCAAATCCCCAACTACCTGCCTGTGTCTCTCACTAACTTGCTTGGGTCCATCTCCCCTGTTGAAGCAAAGTCATTTGAAGACAAAGTATCTAAGCTGGCACTCTACACATAGCAGGTAGTCAATCGTTACCTCTGTGGCCAGAACCCAGGAGGCAGCGGCTTACCCAAGGCATCGGTGGCATTGACTTGCAGGATGAGCCAACTGTGCACATTCTCCTTATTGGAGCCAAAGATGGTAAAGACAGTGCTCTTCTCTCCAGGTTCTGTGAGGAGCCCATACACGAACACAGGCTTCTCAGAGAAGACAAACGTCTTCCAGGTCTCCCCTTCATTGGTGCTGTACCTGCCCAGTGCATACAAAAGGAGCCTTGAGATTACAGTCTTGAGGACCAGGACTCAGTTTCCACAACACCTTACCAGTAACAGGAATCGGGGATCCTTGGGGAAATGGCTGACCCAGCCACAATAGGGAAAGTATACCAAAAAGCAAGGACGAGTCAGAGACAAATCCCATCACTGGAAATAGAACAAGAACTGGGGTTGTCACTCAGTGCCCTGGGTTCAATCTCCAGCATCCGCCCTGGAAAAAGACCCAGGAGCTAACTGATAGGACTCTAAACAGCCAAATTAGGAAACTTTTAACACAGAGGAGAAAGATGGGGTAACAGATTACATACTGAATCTGTAGGACATGGATCTCTACTGATCATGAGAAAGGAAACATTCTTTTTCATATATGAAAATGCTACTTGATATCATTACAAATAATAACAGAAGAAAATCATCATTCTGTGATCCCTACTGTAGTAACCAACTCAGACAGGAACCATCATTGGATGCAAAATCACTGGATGAAATCTTGGGGAGACCAGGATGCCCACACAGTCTAAAGATATCAACCCATAAACCAATCATTTACTGCTCAGGCAAAATGCAATTTTACAGAGAACGATTAGCCTCCTAACCAAACTGAGCACAACCAATATGGGAGACTCTAACATCACATGCCTCCTGAGTAAGTCTATAAATAGCACATCTTAGTACCATTCAGTGCAACTGGACAAATCTAGAATGTAGGACATTGCACATGGCAACTGTTCTGGAGTGTTATTTAAAAAAAAAAAAATCAAGCCTAAGAGATGGCTTCACAGGTAAAAGCACTTGCAACCTAAGTAAGGACCTGAGTTCAGATCCCCAGAATCTCTATCAAGCTGGACACAGATGGCAGCACGCATCTGTAACACAAGGTGCAGACAAAAAAAAAAAAAAAAAATCCTGGAAACGCATAGGCCAGGTAGCCTGATATACACAGCAGTAAACACCAAGTAGACCCTGTCTCAAGGTGGAGGGTGAGGACCAACATCAGAGATTGTTCTTTGACTTCCAAACATGCCGTGGCACGCATGTACCCGCACTTGCATGCACAAACATTCGCATGAGCACACACACAAGCACAAGATTAGGATTTTTTTTTAATCAAGGCTACGAAAGCCAAGTAAATAGTCAAAACAACAGAGGTGTTGATTTGCTTGTTTTTTGTTTGTTTGTTTGTTTTGGGGTTTTGTTGTTGTTGTTGTTGTTTTGAGACAGGGTCTCTCTGTAGCCCCAGCTGGCCTGGAACTCGTTATGTAGATGAGGTTGGCCTTGATCTCACAGATATCTGCCTGCCTCTGCCTCCTAAGTGCTGAGACTAAAGGCAGGCACCACCACACAGGGCTCTGGAAGGCTTGTCATAGATTAACAGAGATGGAAGGGAAGCAATAGCTAAATGCAATGTGTAAATCCAATGCAGGATGCAATTCTGGAACAGCTGACCCGACACCACAACCATCATTAGTATTAAGCAATTGAGAAAACAGTCCATGAATAATACTTAGATCACCTTAGTTTTCTTCAATGTGATACTAGAATTGTGATTAAATAGGAAAGCATCCTTATTTACTGGAGATACCTGTTTAAATACATATTAAGCTGTGAAAGGTCACCAACCAGTCTGTTTTTCTTTTTATTCAAGACAGAAATGGATCGATAAACACACAGATGATGGAAGCTAAACAAATGGCACAGTATTAACAACTGGTGACTCTCGGCAGAAATCACCCAAGTATTCTGTATAGTTTTTCCAAGTCTTAAAAGTTAAAAAGTTGGAGGAGAAGTATGTCCTGGAGAGTACAGTCTCCAAGGCATACTGAACAAGAAGAAAGCAGGCCCAAGCCTTTGGAATAAAAAGAAGCCCTTGGGTAATTACACTCATTTCAATTTTTTTCAGAGGGGATGGGGTGTTACTCAGTAGCACAAGGACCTGGGTTCAATCTCCAAAACCCACACCTCCAAAATTTAAATATTTTTCATTTTTCACTCAGTGGCTGAGTTAGAGTTTTCTCTACAGCCATGGGGCTATCAACTTTCTATTAAATCCTAATTACATACAAACTTTTTTCTTTCACTTTTCCTGTTTTAGATAGTCTACTTTTTACTCCCTGGGACTCCAAAAGTTGTCAAGAATTTTTCAGCACTCTCACTCAATCCTAACACTCCCTCTGGATACATTTCTGGAGTTGATTTCTCTCCAAGTCTAGTGATTAAACCAAGTGATGGGCTTCTGCCCTTCTCAATGAAGGTCACAGGAAGACCAAGTCCTACCCCCTACCCCTAAGCACAGGTCACACAAGATGAGAAGTTCTCATCTGGCCTCCATTTTTTTAATTTAAGTGAGGCTTAAAGCAGAAACTTCCTAACTCCTTCAGTCTCCTCTTTGCACCAATGTGATGAGCTAAAGGCTTAGTACTACATCTAAAGCTAACTGCAGAGTTTGCCTATTAATCAGACACACTTGGAGTAATCCACCTGCTTCATGATGGCATTGGAAGTCCATCTATTTCTACATCACCAGGTTAATTCCATTAAGAGCTCCTTGAACCAAAAATGCCATCAGGAAATGAATCAACTCATTTCTTTAGAGATTCCCAGAGGACACTAGGTCATGAAGACAACCCTTGTACCTGAGAGGATACCACTCATTTAGAAAGCAATGCTTTCCAGAATATTAAGGAAATGGCAATCACCTTGCAACAGCAACAGTTAAGGGAACCTTATGTCAGAATGAATTCCCAACCCTAAAACCCTAAGAGAACTTGCTAGTGAAATAAAAATGACAAGACATGAGAAAAAACAAATTGTAGATCCTCATATTCTTCTTTTGTGTATGTCCATGTGTAAACATGCACGCATCTGTGCATGGGTTTGTGGAGGCCAGAGGTTAACAGCAAGTATTTTCCTCAGTCACTCTCCACCCTGCTTTTTGATGGTCTTTTACTGAACCTGGAGCTCATAGATTGGTAGGCTAGCTGGCCAATGAACTCTAAGGATCCATGTGTCTCTGAACTCACCCACTGCTGGGATTACAGGCAGGCACTGCCATGCCTAGCTTTTTATGTGTGTGCTAGGGATCTGAATTCAGGTCCTATCCTTGCATAACAAGCATTTTTTTCCACAGAGCCATCTTCCCGACCCTTACCTATATATCCTTAAGTCATGAATGAGGATATAACTCTTATTCTCCTTATCAATGGAGAATTCAAACTGCTTAGGGAAAAAAAAGAAAAACCTCACAAGAGTGTAGAAAGGTCAGACATATAACAATATAAAATAAAATATGTAATGACACATACTTTAAAAGGGGAGGCATAGATATATACTAAACTTATAACATCATCATGTGGCTGCACAGAAAGATCCAGATCTATGAAGAACATGTTCAAGATGAGGAGTCATATAATTAAGGACAAAACATTTAAGAGCAGCAGAAGCCCATCTGTTCATTCTAGTTGTGGCTCTGACAGCTAAACGTCTGTTGGAATAGTAGCCAGATAATTCACGTTCAAACGAGTCAAAGATCATGATTCAAATTATCAAAAGAATGGGTAGACTGGTGAGTCAGTGGGCTGGTTAACTGGGAGTTCTGAAAGTGAGTTCTATAAAGCCACAAGATCAAGATTCTGACAGCCAATGATGTAAGGAACAATTTTAAAAAAAGAATTTATGTTGTACTTTCATCTTTATTGGGGGAATGACACCGAACAAGGGGAAAACAGAGGCTAACGGAAAAGGGATATAAAAGGAACACGAGAAAGTGACAGAGGGGACCTTGTTAATGATTTCAGAAGCAGTCAGGGAGAACCAAGAGCTCAAGGGCTGGGAGAGAAAAATAAAATTGTTTTGTTTACCTAAAGAGGGAAAGGCGATTTTGAGAACGGTACAAGGTAAAAGCACTTAGATAAAAGGAAAACCAGAGCCAAGAACTCAGGATTTCATGTGCACGGCACAACAAACACATCCATTTTCTTTTCTCCCAGTTTTCTTGATTTGAACAACAGGATTGTATTAGTTACTTGTCTTGTTCCTATGACAAAACACCTGGCAAAAGCAAGGAAAGGTTTACTTTGGTTCACTGTTTGAGGATACGAAACAGGGAAGTCAGGGTGGCAGGAGCTTGAGGCAGCTGGTCACATCGTGCCCACCGGCAAGAAGCAGAGAGCAGTGAATGTCTGTGCTCAACTCACCTCCTTTTTATTCAGTCCAGGACCCCAGCCCATAGAATGATACCATACACACTTAGGGTGGGTCCTCCCATCTCAATTAACCTAATCTACATAATCCCTCAGAAACATGCCCAGAGATTTGCTTTCATGAGGGTCTAAACCTCCTCAAGTTAATAAGATTAACCATCACAAGGATAAAAATAAGAGAGGACAATGTTTTTCTGAAGACCTTTGCGGACCACACAGATAACATTTATTCACTGCTGGTGAAATAAATCCTGAGTGGGCTAATATACATTTGATCACAAACCAAAATAAACTTCAACTTCTCACAGAGTTCCACACCCCTGTCAGCAATAGACCACAAGCTTAAATGCATTATCTACCCCATTGTTCATACAAGGTGACTGGCGCAGCTAATATTAAAAAAAAAATGCTGAAATGATATTCAAATGCTTTCATGCATTAAGAATAAGCAAAAATAAGGATAATAAAATACCACACGTAGTTCCAAAAACATACCTGCTCAAATACATCTGTTCTTTAATTAGATTCATAAGGAAAGGGAGCTCTGAGTTTTCAGTTGAACTGAATTCTGTCTACTGACACAAGTTACACAGTGAATAAATCTCAAAAATGGTATCAAGGACTGGGGGATGGCTCAGTGGTTAAAGCACTTGTCACACAAGTAAGAGGACCAGAGTTTAGAGCCCCAGAACTCATGTAAAATGCCAAGTGTATATGGTGTCCCACCTGTAATTCCAACCCAGAGAAGGCACAAACAGTGGATCCCTGGACAACT